ATATTTGGATAACACTTTCTCAGTAAAGTACAGATTCTCGTACTTTTTAGGGTTGAGATAATAGACGTTGATTATCAGTGGACAAATTAAGGCCCAAACCTTACTTATGAATGATTGGTAATGGGCAATGGACAATGGGCAAACGGGAGACCGGGGTAATTAGCGCCAATTATATGTTGGCTTCCTTTGTTACGTTTCCTCCTTTGCTATCGTTTTACTTTTGTTGTTCTTACAGGTACATGTAAATGTTCTCTGTCTCAAAGCATTTATTCGCCTGATGAAGGTGTGAGTATATACTCCGAAACGTTGTGTTCCTCACAATAAAGACGTTGGCATCCATATTGTTTTCCCCTATGGGCATCACTTCTTAATGCCCTTCAAAGACTCAATCTAGCTTTGTTTTTAAATGTGGAGATATTTGCGTAGAATATAATATCGTCATGTCTATAAACATTTGGGTCTACATGAGCATTTAGACATAAATTTTATAGCTCAGGAAATTGCTAAATCTGCAGGGATGAAATACACTTTATAGCAAGCTGTGATCTTTATTCACGATTTAGATATTCGTAATGGAGATCTGTAACTGAAGTTTATCGCATTTTTCCGCAACTCTCACCTCCTGACCAGCTGAACGTCTTAGTGCATTCTGATGCCATTGTACAATTCCAGGCTGCCCTTCTTTCTGTGATGTTTTGACGGATGAAATCTATTGCGTTATAATACTCTCTGTTTGCTGATATTTAATATGTACATATTGTAAAATATTTACGATATTTTAAACGTGTTATTCGATGCAATGTGAACATGAGTGCGGATGCATGAAGGCGGTTACAGCTATAGTGCGATGGATGTAGGGGAATGGTAGGAGGGTGTATGTATGTAAGCACGAATACCGATACATGAAGGCGGATTTAGTTATAGTTCGATGGATGTTGGGGAATTTATCCATGATGGCTTACGTAGACATAATGAGATGGTTGTAGGAATAAAGGGGAAAGATGAATGCGACGTGTGTGCGCGTGCGTGCGTGCGTGCGTGCGTGCGTACGTGCGTTGTGATACGAGGGTTGGCGAACATGCAGTGAGATGATTGTGTTAGTAAGTTAAGTGGTTGAGGATGTGGCAGGTATGAGTATTGATACATGCAGATTTGGGGTTTGGGGACTGGGTGTGCCTGTGCTGATGTCTTTTGTTTCACTCATTTATAATGTTTTCCGTTACTCAATAAATGTTTTACGCATTTTAATGACTGAAAATGTGGTGTCTCAAAGGTCATACTGGCCGGGCAATTCCACACACAAACACACACACACACACACACACACACACACACACACACACACACACACACACACACACACACACACACACACACACACACACACACACACTTCACGTTCATTTGAAATACGGTATATGGGAGTGGTGCCTCAAATTTATGCGAGCGTTAGGCGAAATTTGAAGAGATTGATTGCATTGCTAACCTTCTGTTGATATATGGAGATGGGGGATGCTTGATTGTGGAATACCAAACGATTTTATTATCATAATCAGAAGTTCCTGTGGTTTCTTTTTATTAAAGATATTGTGCGCATCACAAGACTGACTGCTGTTTTGTGTTTTTCAGTTTGTTATTTCGTTTGTTTGGTTTGTTTCGTTTTTTTAATGTCGCACTCCGCAATATTCCAGCTATTTGTCGGCGGACTGTAAATAATCGAGTCTGGACCAGACCCTCCAATGATTGACGTCATGAGCACCGATATACGCAGTTGGGATAGGATGACATACAATCGACCAAGTCACCGATCCCTTTTGTCGCGTCTCTTACAAGCATAGGATGCTAAAGGAATATTCTATCCCAGAATCCTCTAGGGTTTTGTCATGAAACACCAGCATATTGTGGTGAGGGGAGGTGAAATTGGGGATAACGTCGCGTGCTAGATTATTGCACTTACATAGCGACGTACGTGAATGCACATGTCGTGTGTGCTTGTACTTGGTCGGACTAATGCTGGTTGTCTAGTGCTAGTCCACTGAGATACCATGACGCAGTTTAACATGAATATCCCACTCAAGACACAGAATACTGACTCCGTGCCGACCAGTCCTTGTTTTAGCCCCTTAATGCCGAGCGCCAGGCAGGGTAACAAAAAGTACCATCTTTTAACGTCTTTTGATTTGATGCGGCCGGGTATCGAGACACCCGTATATGTCTTCGCGTGTTATAGAAAAAACAGCATATGTCTTCACATGTTTTAAAGACAACAGTATATGTCTCCACGTGTTACAGAAACACCAGCATATGTGGTCACGTGTTTTAGAGACAACAGCATATGTGTTCGCGTGTTTTAGAAACATCAACATATGTGTTCGCCTGTTTTAAAGACATCAGTATATGTCTTCACGTGTTTTGGAGACAACAGCATATGTCATCACGTGTTTTAGAAACACCAGCATATGTGTTCGTGTGTTTTAGAAACATCAACATATGTGTTCGCGTGTTTTAGAAACATCAACATATGTGTTCGCATGTTTTAAAGACATCAGCATATGTCTTCACGTGTTTTGGAGACAACAGCATATGTCATCACGTGTTTTAGAAACGCCAGCATATGTCATCACGTGTTTTAGAAACGCCAGCATATGTCATCACGTGTTTTAGAAACGCCAGCATAGCTATTCACGTGTTTTAGAGACAACAGCATATGTGTTCACGTGTCATAGGAACACCTGCATACGTGTTCACGTGTTTTAGAGACAACAGCATATGTCTTCACGTGTTTTAGAAACACCAGCATATCTGTTCACGTGTTTTAGAGACAACAGCATTTGTGTTCACGTGTTTTAGAAAACCCAGCATGTGTGTTCACGTGTTTTAGAGACAACAGCATATGTCTCCAAATGTTTTAGAGACAACAGAAAGTGTTTACATGTTTTAGGGACAACAGTATATGTCTTCCTCCCCCCCCCCCCCCCCCCCCCCCCCCCTTTTGAAAAAAAACCCACAATGTAGCATATTGGCATGTTGTAGAAAGTCAACGTATCTTAGGGAGGATTTTGAAATTTTGGACCCCTCGCTTTTAAAAAATGCATGATCCGCTCTTGTAGATTATACATTCCAGTAGTGTCGGCGTACTTATGCCTGAGTGAGTGAGTGAGTGACGCTATTTAGCAATATTCAAGTAGCATCACAACCGTGATCACCATTGAAGGACTAAATACTAAACCTTCACAAATAATCGAACCCTGGCCTTCAGCGTGACAGCGAATACAGGGCTAGCAATCGTCCTCAGAGCTACCATAGTAACACTCTAGTGAGGAGTGGTTCGCCCCGATTATGTTTCTAGGTTTGTCAGCACCATACCCGTGCTCGTGGGTTTCACCGAAGTGGTAAACGTCTGAGACCTGCATCACTTTGGGCTTTCCTCCCGCATTAAGCTGACACGCCCTGATATAACTGGAATACTGTTAAAAGCGGCGTAAAACCCAACTCACTCACTCTAGTGAGGAGTGAGTGAGTGAGTTGGGTTAAACGTCGCTTTGAAGAGTATTTCAGTTTTTGCACGGCGTGTCAACTTGGTGTGGGAATTTATTTAAGCCCCATGTGACGCAGGTCTTTGGTGAAACCAAAGAACACGGATATGGTTCTGACAGACATAGAAACATTTTCAGGGCAAACAGTGATTCGAATCCACGATCAAAGGTGTCTTTGGGACGTGTCTTAGGGACGTAACTTTGCACAGCGACTTCCGGAGGCCTTAGAAGAACGTAGAGCCTTCTTATACAGTGGCAAATTATTAACTTTGCGCAATTTATAAAATACTGTTCTTATCAGTTGTAAAATTATTAAATTATTAAAAACAATAAGCACACTGGATGACAAAAAGTCAGGCAAAGTGAATTTGGGACAATGTTTATTTCAATAGCATAAAAACGTTGGATATACATACTATTTGAACAAAAGAAAGAGAAAAATCATATTGCATGAACTGTAAGATCGTTAACCATTAATGTTGAGGATCTTCTAAAGTCAAATATCTCTCAATCTCATTAAAATCAGATCTTAGAACTAAGATTGAGGTGAGGTGAAATTGGGTTTAACGTCGCGTCCAAGATTATTGCACTTATATAGCGACGTGCATGCACGTGTGTGACTGTGGCTGCTTGTACTAGTCCGGACTCATGCCGATTTATAGTGCTAGCACCACTCAGACACAGTATACTGACTCCGAGCCGACCAGTCCTTGTTTTAGCCCCTTAATGTCGAGCGCCAGACAGGGTAACAACAAGCACCATCTTTTAACGTCTTTTGGTACGACGCGGCCGGGGATCGAACCCCGGACTTTCCGCTCTCCGGGCGGACGCTCTACCACAAGACCACGGAGGCGGCTTAATGAGATTGAATATCTCTTGACTTTAATAGACATGAAAGAAGGCGCAAGGGCCCCGTTCCACTAAACGATCTTAACACTATGACAACTGCCAGACCCATACTACAACATACTATTAGATCAGTGATAGTCTTTGTGCTAAGATCACTTTGTGCAACACGGGCTTTGTCATGAAGGAAAGATAAGACTTTCGTCTTTACGCTCAAACCTCTCGGTCACACATATACAATACTCAACTTCTGCAAGTGTCGCAGCAGGTGCCCGTACCTCCACACCGGGTTAGTGAGGTAGAGTGACAATGGCGGCGCTGAAGAGGAGCTTGTATCCAGTCATGCTTCTGACAACCGCTGGCGTACTAAGCTCCCTGCACTGTTCGAGACTACACTCTGCTTCGCGCTGCTGGAGTGAGTGAGTGAGTATGGTTTTACGCCGCTTTTAGCAACATTCCAGCAATATCACGGCGGAGGACACCAGAAATGGGCTTCACACAATGTACCCATGTCGGGTCGCGCTGCTGGAGACATTTGTACATCTGATGTCAACCTTGGAGATACATGGGTCACCTGTGAGGTCATGATACGCAGATGATCTGCAGGGTGAAGGTCATATGGGAGGTAATGTGATACACAGGTCAGGTGTGTTCTTGAATCACAGGCGATACACCAGTTTTGGGGTTGAGATACAAAGGTCATCGGGGTCATGTAAGGTCATGAGGTCAAGGTCAGAAAAGGTTGGTCTGGAGCATGATCCTGATGAACTCTTCTTTGTCTATAACGCCGTCTCCATTGACGTCGGCCTCTTCGATCATCTCCTGCAGCTCCTTCTGGGTGAACTTGATGCCCACGTCTCGACACGCCTGGGGCGGTCCGGTAGCCTAGTGGTTAAAGCGTTGGCTCGTCACGCCGAAGACCCGGGTTCGATTCCCGACATGGGTACAATGTGTGAAGCCCATTTCTGGTGTCCCCCGCCGTGATATTGCTGGAATATTGCTAAAAGCGGCGTAAAACCATACTCACTCACTCACTCGACACGCCTGCCGCAGATTGTCCTGGGAGATAGCACCCGACCCATCTGTAACACAGCGTGGGGACACGTGAAATTAGGGAGCAACTATTTGATTTCAAGGGGCGGGGGGTCGAGGGGCGGGGGGTCGAGGGGCGGGGGGTCGAGGGGCGGAATTCTTTAAACTCCTGTTTTACTGAAAATATTAATTACAGATGCCTCGCATTGCAGGTGAAAATATAAGCTTCTTGCAGACAAGTGTGTTAAAAAATACAGTTCATTTTTTTTATTTACTTTAAAAAATGCATCTTTATGTTGGAAAAGACAATTGAGCTCCAACACATTTCTTTAATATGCAGATCTCAACCACACATCCCCATCCCAAACTGTTCGGATGCTTCACATTCTTTTATGAAAATTTTTACAAAAACTAGCAGCTGTGTGATGAATGTATAAAAAAAGCTACTGACAACACGTACATGCCATGAATTTATACAATCGATACATTTCTTTCATCACGGTAGTTTCAACATATATCAAATACCGCAATACCACCCTTAGGCATATAATGTATGATATTACGAGCGCATCACCGATCACTTTCCTTGAGCAAATCTGTATTTTGAAACCTCACGTCAACGTAGAGCAGTTTTCTCTTACGCAAATAATACAACACAGATTACATGAAAACAGATGTGTGGAAAGCCCGTGTCGGGAGATGTGACATCGCTGTGCAATCCATACAAACGAGGCATAACCGTATATATCGACTACTCGCCTGTGTCGAACGTGTTGAAGCCCTTCAGTATTTCTTCATACACATCTCGGTTGTCTCCCTGCCGGTCTATCACTGTCTCCAGGAACTCGTTGAAGTCAATCTGAACATAGGTTCGACGTGTTACCTTAGAAAGGCAAATAATAAGTTGTGTTTCTTTGTCCATATAGCAAAGTTCATCAGTTACCACGTTGTCTGGTGTGTACACACTGTTTCAGGATTAAATATTAAATATTGTGATATGGAAATGAATGCAACCTTCAGTTTTAAATGAATGACTTGCTACTTTGAAGTGAGTGAGTGAGTTGGGTTTAACGCCGCTAACAGTATTCCAGTTATATCATGGCGTGGCTTGATGTGGGAGAAAAGCCAGAAGTGATGCAGGTCTTAGACGTTTACCACTTCGGTGAAACCCACGAGCACGGGTATGGTGCTGACAAACCTTGAAACATAATTGGGGCGAACCGGGATTCGAACCCACAATCATAGGTTTCTGACGTCTCCAAGGGACGCAACTCTGCACAGCGAATTGCGGTGCCTTAGACGATTGGGCCACCCGTGCCCCCTGCTACTTTGGAAATGCCAAAATGAGAATAAAATAAATAAGAGAATGCACTTTCACCACTTTAATGTACACACAAAGTTTCACGTGTTTCGCGTGCACCAGGAGCGAACCATGGCATTTTCATACCAGTACAAACGCCTGTCCAACCAACGCAACGAAGATTCACGGACGAGTGTTACTTGTAGGGCTGGGACGAGTCCAAATTTACTACCCGGGTACCCACACCCCTATTACCCGACCCTACCCGCATACCCGCTGTTGGTGTCAAGAGATAGGTACAAAATGTCCGATTGGGAATAGTTTGACAGTAGCCCTGGCAGAATGTTTTTTTAGATACATGATGTGATCATGCATAAACTGAAGTTGACTGAAGTTTTAGTTTTGTTCAAACATATTTAAGTCAGGAGGAACGTGTTCAAAGTCATGAAGAAATTCGAACATTAGAGATTTAAAATTGTCGTGTAACCATGTAGTTATAATTATAGTGATTTTTTGTCATGAAACAATATATCACGTGACTAACCACGGGTCCGGGTAGTCCTGTGGGTGCCCGGGTCCTACTCAGTACCCACCCGACCCGGGTACCCGATTTACCAGCCCTAGTTACTTGGAACAATATTGAGAAGAAAACGCGTTGCAAAACGACTCCAGCCTTTGGCCTGGTCATATGATCTCTCAAAATAAATGTTAGCACGACTGTTCTAATATTTTTGGTCCCGTATGCGTCGTAAAAAATGCGAGCAAAACAGATCAGGAACAAGGTATTTTAACAGTTTCTTGATTTTTTTGTATGAAGACATTAGTGAGTTAAATTTTGAGATGGTGAAACAAGTATTGGGGTATGGCAGAAGGCATCATAAGAACGCAACATATAATATAATTACACCGTTATTTGTTTGTTTCTTTGTTGTTGTTGTTGTTGTTGTTGTTGTTGTTGTTGTTGTTTAACGCAACACTCTGCAATATATTCCAGCTATATGACGGCGGTCTGTCAATAATCGAGTCTGGACCAGACATCACGCCGAACAAGCGGTTTCGATTACCCAGGTAGGTACAATGTGTGAAGCCCATTTCTTGTGTATCCCGTCGTGATCTTGCGGAAATAAAGTTAAAAGCGGCGTAAAACTATACTCACTTCAGTCTTGCAGTGTGTTTCAAGGGCGTATTATTGTGGACAAACATATATACATTCTAAAATATTTTACAATAACTTGACACAAGTTTTTTTCAAATATGTGAAGAAATGTTACAACTTACTAGTTTTAGATTGTGTGAATGGAAAGCCTAAATGGGCTTCAAAAATTAAATATGTTTCATATAAGTTTGGTTTCGGATATGTCTTTTAGTTTCATATCTGAGTTTTTTATATAGACCGAAATCATCCTACGAGCAAGATTGGCATGCAGCACTATTTTTTTCAGTTCTAAATTGGTAACCTACGCTTCTTTCAATATATCCTTTGGCCTCGGATTCTATATTAAAGAAATTTCCATTTCAAAATTCCGTGCAGCATTAGCTCAACTCAGATGTTCTTCACACCAGCTCGGAATTGCAACTGGTAGATATGTTTAAGAAGTAAAATCAGATAGAATATGTCATGTATGCAAACAAAGATACATAGAGGATGAATACCATCTTGTACTTGTGTGTTATGTTTATGGCAATCTCAAGAGTTAATATATACCTCCAAAATACTAATTATATCCAACATTACAAAAAAATTAACTCACTAATGTCTTCATAAAAAATCAAGAAACTGTTACAAATCTTGCAACGTTTGTATATAAATTAATGCAAATAAGACAATCAATTGGGTGAAAAATGTATATCAATGTACCAATGTATATGTGCTGTTACTCTCTCAAGCAATGATGTAACGATTAGAATGGGCCTGTGGTCTCCACTACTTTTTGAATAAAGATGATTGATATGAGTAATTTTCAAATTTTATGGATGCTTCGAGCACTGTGTAGAATCTTATATCCATTTTAAAAAATACACAGTAAAGGAAAACGTTTTCAAATAATGTTTTCTGTGAAGTTTTAATAAATGAACAATGTGGACGAACACTATATAGTTCAATGTGGAGGTCTCTTGAATGCAAACAGGCACATTTTATTAACTGGAGAAAGTAGAGTAAAATCATCGCGCACTAACAAAGTCGCGCGAATCCACACGTGGTGACCCGAGATTCAAAAGGGTTGACGTAAGATTCAGCCAATCACATTTCTGTATCCTCTGCGTCTCCCAGCATAGGTCACAACCTCTGACCTTTATTCCTGTCTGCCCGGACGTAGAAGGATTTCTTGGGATTTAGCAACTTAAGCAGTGGGTTTGAAGACAACAACAATCGGTAAGGTATCTAACATTTAAATGCTATAATTTTGTTCAGTGTGTGTACCACCATTTTGTCGCTATGAGCCGTTTACCATGACCGACTGTCGGGATTGAAAATATGTGCGTCGCCGCCATTCCTTGTCGGGTTTTTCTGTACGATTATGAATCTCACAATATCAACGCAATTTTCAGGCTGCACGGACTACTGTGGGCTGTTTCCCACGATTGCTCCAACTCTCGGGGACTATACTGGACGATGTAGATGGTCCCAGTGGTATGCGTTGCATGTTGTAAACATAACCCTGTGGCTAGTCACCCACATGGGTTGAGTGCATGACCTTTGGGTGTTTGTATATCATTGACACGGTCAACTTGCTCAAACCCGTCTTTAGCTGGCTCTAGACATTTGTCAACACAAACAACATGCTGTATTTATATCTATGGTTTTTGTTTTGTTGATCTAAGTCAACGGGCGCATCGCCCCTAGACTGATTTCCCGCAATTTGTCGAAGAGACGTATCGATTTTTGCGACCTTTGTCCTTTAGCATATGGTCTCACGAGAAGTAGGTTATGTGCATATTTTATGCAAATGAGCGGTCAAAGGATGCGGTACTTCCTCGTTGAACTGAAAGGTCATCGAAATGAAAGACTACTCCAATCCTAACATTTGAGCACTAATCGTCTTGTAAACCTTCTAAATTACGGACTTGGAAATAAGAGGCAGTTTGCAAGTATGGAGACTGCAACGGGATAATTTTAGAAGTCGTGATTTGCCTGCAGAAATAGGTCATGCTGTCTGCATAAGACTGCAATGCATTTGTATGCACCACCCTACTGCTCAGTTGCTCCGGTGATTTTTGGCTAATCTCGAAATTTCCAAAAGTGCTTTGAAATAGATTATTTATCCCTGCTTGTGAAATGTCAATGCAAACTTGAATGGAGTTTGGGGCATGATTTGAACTTAATATGGAAATGAATTTATGCCCAGCGATGAATGTAATAATTATTGTATACACAACCACTTTTGTTTTTGTTAACCTTTATATAAATTGTTGGAGTAGAATTATCCAGCTGACGTGGTTCTACCTAAAATAGAATAGTCAGAAATGGTGATTGTTGTGATAATAACATTGACTTCTTGGCGTGTTTGATGAGCATTGTAAACAAACACCAATTTTGAGATAATGAAATGGTTTGTACTCAAGGTCATTGTTGTTTACAAATCTAAAAATAGTGCACTGTCTTAATTGTTATTGTGTTTCGGTTGCAGTATCATAATACTTGAATTAGATGAGTGCATGGACCTTGATTATGGCATCGAACTAATGGATGAAAGTCATGGAGTCCTTGTCATAGCCCTCGTGATAAAAACATAAGATTTAGAGAGTCTCTTGTAGAGCAGGCTTGAGTCTAAATTTAAGACCCAGGTGATTGACCCCCGATTACCCGACCCTACCCGGTACCCACTGTAGGTCTCAAGAGTTGAGTACATAATGTCCGATTGGGAATAGTTTTACTGGAGCCCTGGCAAATGCTGTTTACAAACATGTATAAAATGACCGGATCATTCATAAACGAAAGTCGACTGAAGTTAAATAATTACTCAAACGTATAAAGTCTGAAACAATGCGTGCACAGTCAGGAAGATATGCAAACATAAGTGCCTTTTATTGTATTGTATAACAAAATATTACATGACTAACCAAGGGTCCCATAGTCCTTTGGGTGGGTACCCAGGACCTACTCATGACCCACCCAACCCGAGTTACCCGTCCCAGCCCCAGTCCCTTGATTCAAATACTACTGCAGCAAGTCTCACGGACGCCAGAGCTAGTATTAATTTCAAACATTTCAGATGCATGTGCTGACGTCTGGCACCATGGTCATAATAATATATTAGTTTATACATAATATTAATATAGTATTACAGGATATTGGAAAATATGATCATATTGTAAATCATATAAACTTGGTAAGCTTATCATGTTATATACAGCAAAAAGCATTGCTTTTCCTGTAGTTCAGCAATAAGCTAACCATTTATGTACTTCAGTGCATCCACGGCACTCATTTCATCGTTGATGCTCTGTGTGGATGATACAGAGCTCCAGATAAGCTTTTGGTGTTGTGGGTATTTTACCCATGCATTTTAAAATCATTGGGTATCAGTAATTATATCTGCGTATTCAAATTTCTGTTACCCACTAGTTTTTACACATGTGGGTATTTAAGTTAAATATTTAAAAACACAATTCATCTAGTCCCTACAAACTGGTGTCGTGTGGGTTCGAGAGCTTTATAGGACTAAAAAATACCACGATACTTCTATAAGAAAGTGTGATGGCAAATGATCATGATGTAACTGTCATCGTGGAGTTTGGCAAGGTTGACGGAATGCTCGTTATAATTTAAAATAAGTTGCTGATTTGCTAATCCAATACACAGAGTTACTTCACAATATTTTGATGATACGCACAAGTTTGATTTTTGTAGCGTATCTGTAATGTTTGTTGCATATTTGATACGCTTAGATTATATTTTACTGTGTATTTCTGCATTTCTGATGCGTATTTCACGCAGATACGCAGCTTATCTGGAGCTCTGATGATAGGAATTACAGATTATATGGAGTGGTTGGTTGGTTTGTTGTTTAACGCCGCACTCAGCCATATTCCAGCCATATGACAGTGGTCTGTAAATAATCGAGTCTGGACCAGACAATCCAGTGATTGATATCATGAGCATCAATCCACGCAATTGGGATCGATGACATGCATCAACCAAGTCAGTGAGCCTGACCAACCGATCCCATTAGTCGCCTCTTACAACAAGCATAGTTGCCTGGGTTTATATGTAGTGAATTCATTTTGTAACTTACTTGGCAAGAAACTTTCAGCATTGATTAATTCATGAGGAACACACACAGCTGCTGATCATCTTCCGGAGGCAAGGGAGTTAACTGACTAAAAAAGACCAGTTTCCACCCTTGCCGAACTTGGCTGGAACAATGGAGTCATAGTTTGGCTGGTCTATGCATTGTCCAATCAAAATAGCGTAACGAAGTTGACATCTGGCCGTGCAGATTTCAGCCGATTGCCATATTTTGTAAAGCATGTATGCTGCTAACACAGATATTTTGCAAATCTTTTCATGTTTCTGATCTAGGTGCTCACGTGATTTGATGCACTTAGCCAAAATAGATCAGATTGTCTTAGCTGGGTGCCGCTATTTTGTTAAAGCAAATGCAAGTTAAATGAGAGGTGGAATCTGATTGGTCAGTAGGAGGGATGAAGAAGGGACATAATCCATACTAGCCGCTGGTCACACTACGATCGAACCCAGAAATTCGAGCCTAGCTTAGCAAAGATGGAAACTGGACTTTTACAAAAGCTTTTGGGACTACGAGTCTTAACATGACTTATTGCATAATTTTCAGTATCAATTCAGTGTTATACATGGATTATTAATAGCTGAGCTTACTAGACAGAACAGAGCTTTACTAGACCCAGTCTTTTGGCTAGTGGCTAAAGTTGCAGACTGTCGTCTTCAGCTTGCATACTCATATAAATCAATTGCAGGCATTACACATGAACTCTACTGCAGTGTATAATGCATAAAAAATGTGCTGCATCTGTTTTAAGTTTATGCAACATGTTGCACACTTGGGTCAACACACAAACAGATGCAAAATAGCAAGCAAAACAGCATTTAAGCAGAACTGGTTACTCATTGGTGTAAAACTACCCAAAAGACCCAAGGGAGTAAAAATGTATTGTCAATCCAGATGAAACCTATAAATTCTTTGAATGGCATTAAGAATTTTCCGTTTATTTGTTGTTTTGTGTCTCACTCAGCAATAGTCCAGGTATATGACAGCAGTCTGTAGATAACCCAGTCTGGACCAGACAATCCAGTGATTGATGTTGTGAACACGATCTACGCAAGTGAGATACGATGACATGGATCAACCAAGTCAGCGAGTCTGACCCCCTGATCTTGTTAGTCGCCTCTTACGACAAGCATGGGTTGCTGAAGACCTATTCCAACCAGGATCTTCACAGGTCGGCATTTAGAAGTGATATACAAGAAAGAGATTTAATGGAGTTCAACTTTTTTATTGGGAACACAACATTTCAGAGCATATGCTTACTCCTTCATCAGTGAATGGATGCTCAGTAGTAGAGCATATACATGTTACCTGTAAAAACAACAAAAGTTATAAGAAAACAAAGGTTGAGACTTAACCATGTTAACAAGGGAAGCAAACAGTTAATTAGCGCTGAATCCAGTTAACAAATAACCTATGACCTATAAATATGGTTTTACTATTATAATGTGAATAAGAACGTGTGAGTTAATACTCAATTGTTAAAAAAATGATCTGGTGCCATAGACCTACACAATCCGTAATATTCTGAGTTAATACCATGATAACCCATAGACTATTTTTCTGGAAAATGAGTAAAAAATATAGTTTGCACACAACTTCAGGTCAATAGGTCAAATTTTTTTTTGTGAATTCCAGGTCCAAATATGTATTTTTTGTTTCCTCAAAATGTTAATTAGGGGTGGCAAAAATATTGGGGTTGGAGTTTTTAAGATAGGTTCTCTACATGTTTTAATTATAGTAGTTTGAATAATTTAATTTTGTTCAAAGCTTCAGCATGGTCAGCAAGTGAGGTTTTATTACATTTTACTTATTTTTGGTCATTTTTTGGTGTTTTTGTTACATTTCAAATAGCTTGTCGGCATGTTTAGGCTTATGTTTCCATTAAGGTGCATCCGTGATACTGCATTAAATGCAATGTTAAAATACAATGTCATGATAATTCTGAAATTTAGAAAATAAAAACATTTTAAAAAAATACCAATTTTGAACAAAGACACATATTTTTTCCTAATTTGGCTGCCAAAATTTAATACTTCGCTGGGAATCCTAGATCCCTGCCATTACATAAACAATAAACGGAATCACACAATTATTTATTTGTTGCATGACAAAAAATATTAGAAATACTAA